GAGTCTTGCCCAGGCCCCCAGAGACTGGCCCGCGGAGGGTGGTGGGGAGAGGAGGAGGACACGAAGGTCCTGAGCCTCCAACCCATCCCTTCTCAGACGTTCCTGGTGCGGAAATCCAACACTCGCCAGTGCCAAGCTCTGTGCGTCAGGCTGCCGGAGGCCAGTGGCCCTTCCTTCGTGTCCAGCCACTGCATCGAGGAGAGGCCTGGGGGTGAGCGGGACTGGCCTGGGGGGACGGGGCTGGAAGCAGAGGCTGGGCCGGGGGCATTCTGGAGAACAGCCTCACTTCCCATCTCTCAGGCGTCTCGTTGGAGGGATCTGAGCTCGTCTTCCAGGACCTAGTCCAGCTCATCTGCGCCTACTGCCACACCCGGTGAGCCTGCCCTCGGGTGCTGGTGTCCGTGGCCACCCTGTCCTCCCACCCCTACAGCCCCCAGCAACCCTCACTTACCTGCCCCCTCTCTGGCCCCAGGGACATCCTACTGCTCCAGCTCCAGCTCCCTAGAGCCATCCGACAGGCAGCCACCCACAAGGAGCTGGAAGCCATCTCCCATTTAGGCGTCGGTAAGGGCTCCCCTGCTGCCCATTGCCTAGGTGGACAAACTGAGGCCAAGGGGAAAGGGAAGGCACGTGGGCACACAGCCTGAGCCCTCCTTTGGGCCCATTCCCTTCCTCTCCCTGAGGCCCCTGTTGGTTTCTCTTCTCTAGAGTTCTGGAGCTCCTCCCTCAACACCAAGGCTCAGCTAGGCCCCTCTGAAGGCCCAGTGCTGCCCCGGCTGAAGCCCCGGTCCCCACAGGAGCTGGACCAGGGCACCGGGGCCGCCCTGTGCTTCTTCAACCCCCTGTTCCCAGGGGATCTGGGCCCCACCAAGCGGGAGAAATTCAAGAGGAGTTTCAAAGTGCGTGTGTCCACAGAGACCTCCGGCCCCCTGTCTCCACCCGCTGTGCCACCTCCCCCGGTCCCAGTGCCGCCAGGGGCAGCCCCCAGCCAGACAGAAAGGATGCCCCCTCGACAGCTGCTGAGGAGGGAGAGCTCAGTGGGGTACCGTGTGCCCGGGGGAGCCAGCCCCAGCCTCCCTCCCCTACCCTCCCTCCAGGAGGTGGACTGCGGCTCCCCCAGCAGCTCCGAGGAGGAGGAGGGCATGCAGGGGCGTCAGGGGAGTCCAGCAACCTCACCCCGCCTGAGTCTCAGGAGTCGCAGGCGGCCTTTGCTTCGGTCCATGAGCTCTGCCTTCTGCTCTCTGCTGGCACCCGAGCGGCAGGTGGGCCGGGCGGCCTCGGCGCTGATGCAGGACCGCCACACGGCTGTGGGCCAGCTGGTCCAGGACCTGCTGACCCAGGTGCGGGCCGGCCCGGAGCCCCAGGAGCTGCAGGGCATCCGTGAGGCACTGAGCAGGGCCCAGGCCATGCTGAGCGCCGAGCTGGGCCCTGAGAAGCTGCTGCCCCCTAATAGACTGGGTGAGACTCCAGCCCCGTCTCTCCATAATCTCAACTCTTACCCATGCCACTCTCTCCCCTCCGCAGTGCCGCCTGGCTCACCCCTTCACGTGCATTCCATTCCCCACTCCTCCCCCCTCCTGTCTCACAAGATCCCTCCTCCTCTTCATCCATGTCTCGCTGGACTCTGCCCCCACCCTGCCCTGGCTCCCCTGACCCCTCGCCTGCCTCTGCTCCACAGAACGCGTCCTGGAGAAGTCTCTGCATCGCTCGGTGCTCAAGCCTCTCCGGCCCATCCTGGTGGCCCGACTGCGGCACAGGCTTTCCGCCGATGGCTCCCTGGGCCACCTGGCTGAAGGCTTCCGCCTGGCCCGGGCCCAGGGCCCTGCGGCCTTCGGGTCCCGCCTGAGCCTGCCCTCCCCGGTGGAGACGGAGCAGGTGCGCCAGAAGCTGCTGCAGTTACTCCGCACCTACTCACCCAACGCCCAGGTCAAGCGGCTCCTGCAGGCCTGCAAGCTGCTCTACACAGTCCTGAGGACCCACCTGGGTACTCCCCCTCCTCCCCCACTGGCTCCTTGCTGTCAGAGGCAGGCCCCTCCAGGCACATTCCAGGAAAGGCACGGCTGGGGGAAGATGGGTCCAACCCTCCCATCTCACAGGTGGTCTAACTGAGGCCCAGACTGTGGAGCATCCTCTCCCCAGCCCCTGCTCGAGGTTGCCATAGAGACCACATTGCCCGAGGCCTGGCAGGCGGAGGGGAGGGTCACTGTCTTAAGACAAGGAGGGGACTGTGACCGCGGGGGCCTCAGAGGAGCCTGAAGCTCCCCTCTCCGCCACCCACAGGAGAGGGCGCGGGGGCCGACGAGTTCCTCCCGCTGCTGAGCCTGGTCCTGGCCCACTGCGACCTTCCTGAGCTGCTGCTGGAGGCCGAGTACATGTCAGAGCTGCTGGAGCCCACCCTGCTCACCGGCGAGGGTGAGGGACCTCACACACATGCCACTTCCTGTCGGGGTGGGGCTGGAGCACCTCTGCGCCTGCATGGCCCGAGCAGGCAGGGAAGGGAGAGGAACAGGTCACCCAACCCCGTCCTCCATCCTCCCCGTGTCCCAGGCGGCTACTACCTGACCAGCCTCTCCGCCAGCCTGGCCCTGCTGAGCGGCTTGGGCCAGGCCCACACGCTCCCCCTGAGCCCCGCACAGGAGCTGCAGCGCTCCCTCAGCCTCTGGGAACAGCGCCGCCTGCCCGCCACCCACAGCTTCCAGGTAACAGGGCCCCCATACCCCTCCCCCCAAACTGTGAGGCCCGCCCCCCCCCCGCAATAGAAACAGCACCCCACGCAGAACAACGTCAAGACAGCCTTTCTGGAGAGAGTATGTTCCACTGTGCCCAGTGCCCTAGGCGCTCAGCCCTGAATCTTCACAGAAATAGGGCCACCACTACCCCATTTCACAGATGAGGAAACTGAGAGGTGACACGGAAAGGGAATGGGACACAGGTGGCAGGCTGAAGCCTCAAATCCTGGCTTCCAGCCCCAACTGGGGCTCTGCCCACCCCTGGACTTCAAGCTTCCAGCCCAAGCTCCCCTCACCAGACACCATCCCTGCCCTTCTCAGACTTGGTTAAGAGTCCAGATTGTAGGCAGATCCTGGGCTCAAATCTGGGCTCTGCTACTTTCTGGTTGTGGGAGCTTGAACAAGTTAGGTAACTAATTTGAGCCTCAATGTTCTCATCTATAAAATGGGATAACAGTACCTACCTCCTGGGACTGATATGAGGATTAACTGAGTTAAAACCAGGACACATGCTCAGGACACAGAGTTAGCTCCATCTGAGCATGAGGGTCAGGCGTAGGCCTGCTGGGGCCGTCCTGCAGCCTGCAGTGTGATCCGCCAGCCTCAGCCCATCTCTCCCTTCCTCAGGGCCCCCAGGACCTCACCTTGTCCAAAAAGCTTTTTTCCAGTTGGTTCTGCAGAGACCTCAAGCTTTGCAGCCAGATGCGTACCAAGCAAGGTTGAGTTTCAGTGTTTGTTTCTTCTCCCGCACAGCGTCTCCTCCGAGTAGCCTACCAGGACCCCAGCAGTGGCTGTACCTCCAAGACCCTGGCCGTGCCCCCAGGGGCCTCGATCGCCACCCTGAACCAGCTCTGTGCCACCAAGTTCCGAGTGACCCAGCCTGGCGCTTTCGGCCTCTTCCTGTACAAGGAGCAGGACTATCACCGCCTGCCCCCCGGAGCCCTGGTCCACAGGCTGCCCACAACTGGCTACCTCGTCTACCGCCGCCAGGCAGAGTGGCCCGAGACACTGGGGGCCTCGCTTGGGGGTGCAACGGAGGAGGGCAGCGGGGAGCCAGAGGCAGGAGGCAGGGAGGAGAAAGGGGGCAGGGAGATGGGGATACTGAGGTCAGAGCCAGTCCCTGTGGCAACTGCTAAGCAGGAGGAGAGTCAGGCCAGCGGAGGCCCTGCTGAGCCGAGGGCGCTGGAGGCTGAGGGGGGCCAGGCAGCAGAGGAGTAGCTGGGAGTGGCCAGAGCGGCATTTGGGGCCGAAAACTCTGAGCCTGCTGGGAAGGCCTTTCAGAGCCCATGCTCCCCCGAGCCCTCAGCCTCTGGGAGCAGTGCAGCCTGCCACGCCTCTGATCATTATCTCTGACCATACCTGCTGGGGGAGCGCCTGGACTGGCTACATCTGCGGCAGTGGAGTAAAGTTGAGGGGCATGGGGGACCCCAGACCAAGGGCCCGAGGGCCTGTGCCTCTTACGCTTCTGCCTAGCTGGAGGCCGGCAGCCCCTCCAAGCTGGGGGCTTCAAGGCCGTGAACGGATCCACCTCCCCCCCGTCCTTGTCTGGATGATTCAAAGAGGCAGCCAGGCGCTCGGGCAGGTCCTGCTCCAGGCCACCTGGAGACCTGCACCTCCAAACCGCAGTGCCCTCACCCGTAAAGTGGGGGTGCAATGCCATCCTGTCTTCTCCCAGAAACCTTCCAGGCGTCCAGATGGATGGTTTTCCTGCAGAGGAGAACTCAGACCCTGGGAAAGGGAGGGAAGGAGGTGGGATGTCAGCTCCCCCACCCCTCCAAGGGTCAAGGGTCGTTCGCTGCACTTGCCAAGGCCGACGTCCTCCCGTCAGCCCGTGGAGACCCCAGAGGGCAGGTCCCCCTGGAGCAGCTCCCAAGTTCCAGTCTTTCCCCGCGATGGGCCGACCTCCGGGCCCTCTGGCATCCCAGGGGATGGGGGAGCGGGAGCTTGGAAACCATTTTCTCTGCACTTAACTCTTGGACTCACAAGAGCTTTACGGGAGTTTGTGGTTATTACCCACCGATGTTCGGGAAAGTGGCTCCTAAGAGATCACACAGCAGGCCATTCGGGGCGCCCCCACCCAAACCAGGGCGTCAGGCTCCAACTACACCCTGTAGCCTTCTAAGCCACCAATAGATTAACCCTCAAGGCCCAGCAGAGCAGGCAGCAAATCTGAACAAAGACAATGCCGGCAACAGCCACCAGGGGGGGGTGTGGCCCAGGAAGCTGCGGAGTGGGTGACACCAAGAGGTGAGGGGGGCTCCAAGGCCTCAGCAGCATAAGCAGTCACAGGCTTTGCACTCGCGGCCGGGCAGCCACCGGGCAGCTGGGGGACAGCGGGGCTGAGGCTGGGGGCCCTCAGCTCCCTCGGGGCCAGGGGTCTGGATGCGGCAGCCTCGCCGGGACCACGACCTGGGAAGGCACTGTCCCCTGGGTGAAGGAGGACCCCAGCCACTAAGGGACACCCACCTGCTCATCAGGTGACCGTGGAAGGTGGAGGCCTGGACACTGGGCTTCAGACAAACCAGATGCAACCCGGGTGCCGGCTCCCGCATTTCTCGCTCGGCCACCGGCAGCATTTCCCACTCCCACCCTCTCCCCCAGTTTCTCGCAGGTTAGGGAGTCTCCCCTTTGGCTTTTGTATGTCCTCCTGACCCCTCGCCCACCCCCAGTGCCTTGCACAGTGTCGGACACTCCACGGGCGCTCAATAAACACTGTCCGCTGACTGGAGTTTGGTGACAGTGACGGGCAGGGAGGCGGGAAGCTGGGAGGTTAAGGGAGGGCTGGGGCTGGGAACCAAACACGGGATGTTGCAAGTTCAGTTGGAGAGGAAGGGCCTGGAAGGTTGCAGGGGGGACTCGGAGAACCCCAGGCTGGATGGGGAGCAGAAACAGACTGCCTGAGGCTTCTGGGCCCCTGCCTTGGGGGCCACTGCACGCTGCTCTCATCCCCTTCCCCTGCAGAGTCCTGATTTCTGGCTCTGGGAATTTAGTGCTCCCACCCCCCAACCCCACAGTGGCTCAGCAGAGCACTGCCAGGCCCTGCCTGCTGCCTGGGTCTTTTATCTTCTGATTGGTAAGGTCCAGGCCAAGTAAATCAGCATAAACAAGGTCATTTATACAGGTGTTAGGGCTCCAGGCAGGGAAGGCAATGATAGGCTGGTCTGATACTGATCTCGTTATCCCCATTTTACAGGTAGCAAACTGAGGCTCGCTCGGGGAAAGGGGCTTGTTACAGGGCTCACACACCAGGGTCTGTGGAGCTTCTGATTCTACAATCCCCCCCACACAGAAGGGCTATTTACTCATCCACTCAGCAATAATCTATGGAGTGTCTGTCTGGACCAAGCACCCGCAGCCGCGGCCAGAGGGAAACAAATGTGACCTGGGGAGTAATCAGAATCCGCGCTGCCCGCCCGAACCCCAGCCTCCCACCTTTGGCCTCTGGAAGAGGAAGCCGGGCTCCGAGAGGCACCACGCCTTGCCGGAGTCCACTGCCGCGCTGGAACCCAGCGAGCCGCTGGGACCTCTTAGGAGCACCAGGTCATTTCCTCCCGCGGCACTGCCGCCCTCATCCCCCCACAGTCCCCGAAGGTCCATGTGTGTGTGTTTACTGTCTGTCTGGCCCACTAGCAGGCACGGCCAGGCTGTCCTGGTTCCCGCTAACCCTCGGGGGCCTAGAACAATGCCTGGCGGAAGCTGGCACTTGGTGAATACTTGCGGAGTGACGGATCCGGGAAGACTCTGCCTGGACTAGACAGTCATCCGAGTTCCTGGGCGTGGGCAGTGCATTCTTACAGCCGCCGCCAGGAGGCGAGCACGCACAGCTCCCAGCCTCAAGCCAGTCCCCTTCTCACCTGGGGCCACCCAGGGCACCCGGAGGGCCACGCCCAGCCTGATGCCAGGAGGGAGGCAGCCCTGCAGTGGGACCCCGGACCCGGACGGGGACGTCCGGCAAACGGGGATCCTGACGCCAGAGGCCGGGACGTGCTGAGGGAGGGGCCGGGCAGGCCCAGGAGTCAGAGCCGGGCGTGTGGGCTGGCCTGAGGGCAGGCGGACTGGGGAGGGGAGGGCAGGAAGGCAGCCCTCAGCCGCACCCTGACCCACCTTCAACACAGAGTGCCTAACACCCTGGCCTGGCTTCCAGACCCACGTTCACAGCCAGAAACACCCTGACGCACATTTGCAGTGGGTGACAGACACCCTGCCTGCCACCCTCATGTGAGGGAACACCTGGCACCCGACCTTAACAGGAACACGCAGGGTGTTGGGGACACCCTGACAGGTTCAGCATTTGTGCCCTGCAGGGTGGGGCACAGGGACACACACAGGCCCCTCCTCCGACCCACAATCACCCCTGGATCTTCAAACTCACAGATATCCCCTCAGCTGTTTCCTCTTCAGTTCAGTATGTGACTCCCTGACACACACACCGGCCAGGCTGACATATGTGGTGACCTGCTACACAGAAGCCTCCGGACACACACCTAGCCGTGTGGGACTGTCTGACACACCCAGTCCCCGCTCAGACACGCACACAGGCACGGACACACACGTGCAAATTCAGACACAGACACTGAGACCCACGCAGGCACAAACTCAGAGACACACACATACTTTTTATACTTTTGATCGTGCAGAAGATAGCCAAGCCCTCTGACTAACCTTACTCCCAGCCCGACCTTATCTCAGCCACCACTGAGCCACCCTGCCCCATGGGGAACTCTGACGAGGCTGGGAGCTGCTGGAAAGACCCCTGTTGGGGGGTGGGGGGTGGCGACCCCACTGGCCAGGCGGAGCAGGAGCAGCCAGGCTGGGTGGGGAGGCCTGAGCTCATCAGATTCCAGCCCGAGTGATTCACCGGAAGGGCCTGGGGAGGATGGAGGGGGGTGGGGGGGACTGGCCCAGGGACTGTGATTTTGGGGGCCTAGGTCCTTTAGACCAGAGGGTCCTGGGTCCAGAGCAAGCCCCTAGTCTCGGGGAGGGGCTTCCCGAGGGGCAGCACAGCCCACAGGGCCTGGCTCCTGGGAGGGTGGAGGACACACAGCAGAGACGCAGGATGAGACAATTGGCCGCTCCCCCCCGGGCCTGGGCCCCTGACCCCACGCCTTCCTAGTCCAGCAGCTGGGTGTCTTTAGCAGCGGTTAGGCCAAGGGTGGGGGCAGGGGTGGGGTGACCTTCACGGCCATTTGGCCCCTTGGGCTCTCAGCCCGAGTGGACCCCAAGGCCCTGAGGGGCTGGGCCCGCTTGGCCCCGTCAGGCCCCGGGCT